TCGCCGACTTGTCCACTGATTACTCTACCTGTAAGCTCGATATGATCAGATTTCGAGGACACAATCACCAGTTCATGCGAAGGGTGATGCAAGACTTAGATCGTGCTTGCGTCTTACCTTGATTCACCACCCATCCACTTTAACCACGACTGAGGCTGATGAAGTTGTTAACACATGCGAGGGGTTCAAACACTGAGACATTGGCTTTCCACCATGACCTGAGAGGACTAAAACACGTTGGCTTCATGGCTTAAGCCCTCTGGTAACCTGTGCTACAGTAAATACAGGTCAACCCGAACACTAGAAAGGCCACTGGTCTGCAGGATGGATAACTGAAACACTCTGGACAACTGCTATATTCTATATACACCCAGCACAGATTACTCAATGATTTCCCTTACTCGTTGTGGCAGCTGTCCTTAAAAGCCGTTAGAGATGAGTTCCTTGTTCTTTTCTACGCCTACCAAGAAACTACAAGTGCCGAGCCTTGTCGCCAGCCAACATGGGTTTCTAGAGGCGATGATTGTAGTTTTCTTATACCTCGCAGTGACGCGTACAGCTGACTGCCCAATTTCCATGAACCCCGTTTTCAAATTGCCATTAAGCACATTCAATCACTCTCCTTCTAGCTTCAATCCAAAGCAATGCGGAATGAAGCGACGTGTGCTAATATTTTCAATTCTGGTAAAATACTAACCTTCAGGTGAAAGGCACGCACGAGTAGCATACGCTTGCCGACTCATCCTCTTCGGTAAACATAGAGAAGTGGATTAAAGACCTCTATATGGATTACTCCATTTCTTACCTTGGCAAGCTCGGTAGGACCCAATTACACGTCCATAGATAGGCACCAATTTGCAACCAAGAAATGGAGGGGTGGATGAGGGGAAGGAAAATGGGATAAATAAGTGGATAGATGGTCAAATTAATAGAAAAAGTTGCTCTACCAATAGTTATTCTCATCAATTCGGTGACCTTTTGTAGCATAGCACGAAGAAGATATCATCAGCAGTCCACTTCAGTGGCAGCCTCGTTCACGAAATGATAGACAATTGAGAGACTGCATTCTGCCTTTACACATAAAGGCATCATCTGTGTGCATCTTCTACAGATCTCTTATTCACCAACCAGTGGTGCTGCACTATCGATGCAACATCTTTAGGATTTACCCATTCCTAATCACTGTATCGTGTGTTAAGTAAGAAGGTAGGCAAGAAATTTCAAATGCTGAATTTGCGATGAGATACCCTTCTAATGCTACTCCACATATTTTCACTGAATGCAAGCAGAACGGAAGGACTGACTGATTTGTCAGCAAAGCACACTATGCAAATCATAGAGACTTGCCTACCAACGCCAGGAAATACGAATTGTGCAAAATTCTGCGACTGGACATTATGAGATCGAATCACATGAATGACAGATCATCCATCCAAGGCAAACGCGCTCTAGGTGGAAGACTGGGATTGGGCTGCCAAATGGATGTCAATCGAACAATTAACCAATGGCATTTTCAGCTACCTATTTCTCCTCTCCCACTGGCCAATTCAGGGCCAGTAATGTGCATACTCACTGTGGATATGCGAATAACATAGGCTAGAGGTGAGTTTGAAGTCAGCTAAAATTTGGT